GTAAATCATATTAATACCAAAAAATATATAAATAAATAAAACCTATGCAACAAATACCCCTCAAAAAGTGACAGATCCTTCATTAAGTTTCAAGCTCCTTTTCATTCACTTTCATGACATTTTGATATTTACAGGCAAATCTGACCTCTGGGTTTATTATAAATGACAGCAATACTAAAATAAAAGGAAGCTGATATTCTAGTGACTTCATCTATTCTCTCTCTCTCTCTCTCTCTCTCTTTCTTTCGAGACGGAATTTCACTCCTGTTGCCCAGGCTGGAGTGCCACAGATCAATCTCAGCTCACCACAACCTCCACCTCCCAGGTTCAAGCGATTCTCCTGCCTCAGCCACCCAAGTAGCTGGGATTACTCGTGACTGCCACCACACCCAGCTAATTTTTTTTGCACTTTTAGTAGAGATGAGGTGTCACCATGTTGGCCAGGCTGGTCTTAAACTCCTGACCTCTGGTGATCCAGCTGCCTCTAAATTCTGATCCACTGCCATCAAATAAACCAATTATGAAAAATTAGAATACCTACAGAGCAAACCCACATCTTTTGTTAAAAGTACACAAGTACCAGCATCTTAAGGAAGAACCTTTTATGTGTTTACACTACCTCTATTAGAAAGATTCTTTTTAAACTTCACTTTTTTTTTTGAGATGGAATCTCATTCTGTTGCCCAGGCTGGAGTGCAGTGGTACAATCTCGACTCACTGCAACCTCTGCCTCCCAGGTTCAAGCGATTCTCCTGTCTCAGACTCCCACGTAGCTGGGACTACAGGCACATCCCACCATGCCCAGCTAAGTTTTTGTATTTTTAGTAGAGACGAGGTTTCGCCATGTTAACCAGGATGGTCTTGATCTCCTGACCTCGTGATCTGCCTGCCTTGGCCTCCCAAAGTGCTGGGATTACAGGCGTGAGCCACCATGCCCAGCCGAAAATATTGTCTTTAAATAAACAAAATCCTCCCTGCTGTCTAATTTTTTACACTAAAAATTTGTGTCCAAATAGTTTATAAGAACAGTTAAAAATTTTTTCCTGTTAAAATTTTTAATCACAATTGCTGTACAAAATGATTCATTATCTGTTTAAACTCACAAATAAAGCTTTCTGTTCATTTTAATTAAAATTGCTATTTATTACAAGTGCTTAAAATTTGAAACGAAAGTCTCTTTTCTAGACAAATGATTCACATTTCATATTTCTTCACTTGAAAGGATGCTTTAAAACATTGCCTGCCCTGAAGGAATATACTTTTAATATTCCTAATTCTTCATTCTCAAAACTTCAGCTATTATTGATAAGGATATCAAAGTTGACAAGACTATGTGAGATGTCAAAAAATTATTGGCTGGCTCATTATTTTAAATCTATTAACTCCAAAGGTCTACCTGCATAAAAAAATCACAGTTCCTGTTTCTGCTCAATCACAATAGTGTATACCACATACAATTCCATTTGTATTGGTTAGGGAAGGGAAATTGGGATGGAAGTGAATGAAATACTACTTAACAAATAGTACACTAAATACTAGATCTCATGTGAAATCTTGGAAAGATTTTTATTTTCATCAAAATCTTAATTTACCGTTCACTTCCCTGTTAATCTGTTTATCTCCTTAAGAAGTGGGTTTGTGTCAAATAAGAATCATTCCTTTCGGCACTGCTTTCTCTCTTATGAAACAGTAACCTGATTTATACTGTTCTGCCTGGTTAATGCATGCATCCTCTCTGGACCCCTGCTTACAACAAGGTAGAGAGGGAAATGAAGTAGTTCACCTATATAATGATTTAAGTCTTCTGCAGGAAAAATGTTCTGTGGCTCTTTAGTCTTTCAAGATGATCAGAGGACACAGTATTATAGACTTGGTGTAACCTTCCCCATTTCTGAAAGACAGTTAACACAATTCAGTCTTTCAAACATATGTTGCCTACTCTGCACCAGACACTGCATACTAGGAAGAATATAAAGATCTGAGATATGGTGTCTGCAGTCCCCAAGGACATTTACAAATAACATACAGCAGGAAATTACAAGTATTCCAAGAGCTTTGAGTGCAGGAAAGATTACGTCCAGCTACAACTGGAGCTGAAAGGAAGAGAAGAGTTCAGTGATAACTTCATGAAGGATTCCAAACACAGGGGAGGGACACCTGGCAAGGGGGAAGTAGGGAAAGAAGAAATGCAAGCCTCAGAATATAACTTCTCCAGGGCACAGGGCACACTGCAGAAGAGGCTTTGACTTTAGTCAAGATACGTGTCATCAAACATGTAAAACCTGATGCACCGATGTTTCACCTCTGAAATTAATCATTCAGTCTAACTACAGTGAATTAGTGTACAAGCAACTGAAGTAAAATTACTACCAAAGGGCACTGGAAAACACACACACACGTACACAACACACACACACGTACACAACACACACACACGTACACAACACACACACACGTACACAACACACACACACGCACACAACACAGAAAGAGAAAATCTCTGTTTCTTCATCACAGTGAGGTGTGGAAGGAATGTTAATTTAAACTACATCTTCATCAATTTACAACTATCACAGATTTTTTAGGCCATTAGTGTAATGCTACCGGATGATTCCCTGGCATTTTGTTCTAAAAACCACAAATGAGACGATAATGCGACCAGCTGCAGCTCCCTTCCTGAATGCAGCAGCTCTGGGTGTCCGTACACGTGCAGCTCTGTACAACCTCACACAAAAGCCTGGCAATTGGCCAAGAAGACTCCATCACAGACTATACTCCCCAAGGTTGAAGATTTTCCATGTAATTCCAATTCTGCCATGAAATGACAATACTTTCGCAGACCATAGCTATATAAAACCAATTCAATTCCCATTTCTAGTCAATAAAATACGCCCCTAAAATGCAATATATAAAGACATTAAAATACATAATCTACATTTTTAAGGGCCTTGAATGTAACTCCACTCCATCAAGGTAATTCTTAAAATTTTCTTAAAGAGTTAGTTTCCTCAGAATCTGATCAACATCAAGACAACAGCAGCAACTTGGTATAGCATATAGCGATTTAACTGTATTTCCGAAGTACCGCATTAAGCAATTCATTCACATTGCTAACTGAAAATCAAGAACCAATGTTCTCAACGTGACCCATGACAAGGTCAGACAGATACTTCAAGAATGATGTTAATCTCTGTTGTCTAAAGCAGAAATACAAATACACAGAAACACAGTTCTACAAATTAGGTAGCCACATCACTCTAGTATGTAAGTTTCCTGAGGGAAAGGGGAGAAAAAAGCCTGAGGGGAAGAGGAATGCAAACACTTTAACTGCCTGGCTAATGCTTAACTTTGGTAGGAGTGTTTCACAACGGCAAATAATAAACTGAGCGCTAATTCTTGTGTGAAAATCTTGGGAAGATTTTCATTTTTTACTGAAATCTTCGCATGCCTCTAGCTTCGCTCTCTCCAGGTCTGGACACCTTCCATACAAAGGATCACTAAAAACAGTAGTGATCTGACTGTTTAACCCTTAAGTTGTTATTCAATAGCCAAAATTTAAGGGCGTTGAACCTGTAAAAATGTAAAAGACCTGACAAACCACTGACTCTTTCTTCCTCCTTTTGATGGGCACCTTCCTATGATACAGTTATTGACTAAAGGCAATGTAGAAAGGATTCTCACATCACTTCAGTAGAAAGTGAATTAAAAGTGGTATCTGGACTTATCTAAATCCACATCTCTACCCAGTAATGCCTTCATGTAACATTCAAGGGCCGTCTGGCAATAAAAAATATCTCCAAAGTGATCCTGTAAATGGCTTATCCCCACCCCCCACCTTTAAGGTCAACAACCTTTTGAATCAAGGGCAAACTGATTAAAACAAGAATTATTCATCGTAATTTACTAGTCACAGAAAGAAATCTGCTTCATACCAAAGTTAAAACTGCAAAATATACTTTGAGCATAACCAAATGGATATGGATCACTAAGCATCACTCACAATCTAAATAACCTAGTTCTGAGTAGTCCCAAAAACAGGTAACTATTTTATTGTCATTTATATGACATAGACATGAATATTATATTACAAAGAGAGAACAGGACCTGTTGCCAACCTCTTTTTAAAGGATGAGATACTTAAAAAAAATAAAAGCAACAGGCACAGTGGCTCATGCGTGTAATCCCAGCACTTTGGGAGACCCAGGCGGGTGGATCACCTGAGATCAGGAGTTCGAGACCAGCCTGACCAACAGGGAGAAACCCAGTCTCTACTGAAAAGACAAAAATTATCCGGGCATGGTGGCGCATGCCTATAATCCCAGCCACTCGGGAAGCTGAGGCAGGAGAATCGCTTGAACCCAGGAGGCATAGGTTGCAGTGAGCTGAGATTGTGCCATTGCACTCCAGCCTGGGCAACAGGAACAAAATGCTGTCTCAAAAAAAAAAAAAAAAAAAAAAAAAAAAAAGCTGTAAAGTTACATACCAAATTCTTGATACTCACTTTTGGGGAAGTAAAAGAGGGGAGTGGAACTACACTGGGAGAAGGGAGACTGTCAGAACAATTTTTTTTTTAAATAAAGCAGTTAAAATTTTTAAGATTATATGACAAAAATGTTAACTGGACAGGGAACAGTAGGAACATGGGTTTGTTCAGTTCTTTTGAACATGGGTTACCACATTATTATCCAATCTAAAATAACACAAGAAAAAGAAATTATAACGAACAACAACAAATAAATAGAAATATTTCCCTGAAGCTAAGATGGATGAGGAACAGGAGTTGGGAAAGACGACGAGGGCCAGAAGTTGAAGGGAATAATGCAAAGTGAAATCTGAATGAATAAAGATAGGCGTTCCTGATGGCTCCAGTCCCTCATGAATCCTAAAAGGACTTAAAGGAGGTAATGGCAATAGTAACTGGCTTAGAGACTGGGGAAGGGAGGAGAGCACACTTGCACACACATATTAAGAAATACTATTTCCAGAAAACGTTAACTTACCAGTAGGTGCTGTAGCTACTGCAATCCATACATACTGTGTGCTGAGCTTTATCCTGCTTTTCTGATTTCTTATGGTTGGTTAAGGGTACTTGCGCATCTTCATAATGTTTTTTTGCATGGCCATTCACGTACCTTACAAAAACCAAACAAAAATTTACTTTAAATATTGCTTTGGAAATTAGAGTAAGAGATAATAAAATTAAATGTTAATCAAATAAAAATAAGAAAGAAATCCTGTAACAGCAGTCAATCATGTAATGACTTATTAAATTGAATACTCAAAATATGCTCTTTTTTTTGCAACCAAATACTAGAGTCAACTTTTAACTATATACAAGAGTAGGCCCAGGCAAGGAAAGGCATAATCTATGCAAATCAGTTTCAATACCATAGATATTATTTATAAACTCCTCTGCTGCTGCTTTCACTATAGCTTTTTTTTTTTTTTTTTCTCTCAGACCACTAACCCCCAAATCGGGCTATTATCAAAGACAACAAAATTACTCAGCCACTTCCCACAGGGTTGTAGGCTCTGCTCAGGCTGCTACTTAACAGAAAGTGTGAGAGTCAGAGAAACAGGACAATGTTCTCTCTCATCAATATGGCTTCCAGTCCTTTATTTGAATGCCTAAATAATCAGCTTCAATTATATGGAAAAATGTTTGTTTAGAGGTAATCCAAACAAAACACAAATCACCTTAAGCTTATAAAAACTGCTATTTCTCTACATGAACAAAGATAATCAAAAGTTATGTTCCTAAAAATTCTGTAACACATTCCAACTCAGATTTAATCAATCATTGTATTACAGCAAGCACAATGAAACTGAAATAAGCCTCCATATGCACATGGTGTACACCAAAATTCATCTACATCTTCATCTAGAGACTGCACAATTCTGTCACTGACCACCAATGTGAACACCCTTAAGACGGAACATTTCCCAGTTCCTAGAAAGCAGCCAATTTGTAGAAGGCAAGGCCTACTTGAAAACTCAGTCAAAACAAATGTTGTTTAAATGGTTCCAGAATAAACAGATGCAGAGCTAGACGAGATTTTCATCATGAGGCACCTCAACTGCACCAGGAACACTTACCTTGGGGAAAGTAGGATAGTTATGGTAAGTGGGAAAGATCAATTTCAAACCTAGCCCCTCTACTCAGGAAAACTGTGCACATTCCAAGCACTATTAACCTCAACTCAGAATGTGATCACATTCTTTCTCCGTTTGTTCACTGTACTTTACACTTTTGCATATACCTGAGTCCTTTGTCCACAAAAGTGTACTATAATGAATTTCATAGTCAACTAATGATTAAGAGGATACGCTCGAAAACTAGACTACCTGGGTTCAAAAGTAGGATTTATCACATCCTGGCCATGAGAGCTTAGATGAATTATTTAACCTCTCTGTGCTTGTTTTCTCATTTATAAAATGGACATAATAGTACTTTGTGTTTCATGGGTTAGGTGATTAGCTAATCCAAAGTTCATAACAGATGAATGCTAGCAATGATTTTATTAGCATTCTTACTTCTATGCTTACCTACCATTTAGTCAGAATCCAAACAATTGCTTAGGAAGCGGGCACATGTAGCACATATTTCAAGATAACATGTAACTGTATAGGTCAAGAAACACTATTTAACAAAAGGTAAGGCCTGGCACAGTGGCTCATGCCTGTAATCTCAGTACTTTGGGAGGCGAAGTCAGGCGGATCACTTGAGGTCAGGAGTTCAAGACCAGCCTGGCTAACGTGGCAAAACCCTGTCTCTACTAAAAATACAAAAATTAGCCAGGTGTGGTGGCTCATGCCTATAATCCTGCTCCTGGGAGGCTGAGGCACAGGAATCACTTGAACCCAGGAGGCTTCCAGTGAAGGTTGCAGTGAGCCGAGATCACCCCATTGCACTCCGACCTACACAACAGAGCAAGACTTTGTCCAAAAAATAATTAAGTAAATAAATATAAATAAAAGGTAAACTCTAAGACATCATATAGGTTCAATAACTAATCATATTAATTACCTATTCTTATCATATATGTATATAGTACTCGATCATAAAAAATAACTAATTCATTGCCATAGTAATAATACTGAACGAGTCATTACCACCTGCAAATTTTTGAGAACTCAACATCTTTACATAGTACATATAGTTCATTTAACTACAACTCTGTAGTTTCCAAACGTAGATGTTTAAATAGTTCCAGTGCATACCAGAGATAAAGTAAGAAGTATGATTACTGACGATATTTAAGATTAGCAATGTTTTGCCTAATGCCCAAATACATCATTAGTCAAAGAGGTTCACAGTTTTGTATACACTAGCTAATACGAAATTAAAGATTTCCTTAACTAGTTTTGGATTTTAACTAGATATTTTGGTCAACAGCACAAGAGGAAAAATTTTCTTACATGTCACAAATTTCTAACAATCACAAAAATTTGAAAAATAACTTAAATGGGAAGAGGTCATGAAGACCAACAGAATTTATAACTTATATATGCTACTGATAAACTATATTTCCTAGTGGGAAGAATATTCACTTTATGACTTCCCTAAAGAGAAGCAGCCTAAAATTACCAGAAAAAAAATCAATAAATTTGGCAATCGACACCCGGGATCACATGATAAAAGAATATTAACCAATCAGCTTCCTAAAATGGAGATCCAAATTCAGGCTACTGTGAGTTTTTTGTTTAATCTACTTAGTCACGTTTCTCCAAAATCATGCCAAACTTCTAAATTTAAGCTTGCTTGCAACTGGTAACAGTCCACCTGCAGAGTCAAGAAATTTTTCAATTTATGTTTCCAAAACCTGCTTTAGTTTGTTGTTTGCTTTAAGAACGTTAATCTCTAATCTTTGAGCTTGTCAGGTCTTTTGACGGGCACATGACCATCAAGATTTAGTTTGTAGAGCACTATGAGACATCCGGAGAACAGAACTACATAAATTTTATTGGATTATAATTCTCACCTCTCAAAATCTAGGAGAGGAATCTGTCTCTTCAAGTGCAGAATTTAAGTGCTTCTACTTTTCTTCTTTTTTAAAAAAAAGTTATCTGTACAAAGTATTTTCAGGTTCCCCAAATCCTAGAGATTTCAAAACCACAACAGCCACAATTAAGAAATGCAGTTAACATTTTCCAAAAGTACTCTTAAGTGCACATGGAAAAAATAATTCCAAGATTCAAAATGTGAAAAATCAAAACTTGACTGAACAAATAAAGACGCTCTCTTCATGCAAGGAGGATTTAAAAACAACAAAGGGGAAATATTCCAGGTAAATACAATATAAATGTCAGCCTATGGGACTGAGTTTTATTTCTCATTTCCTTACTGCTCAGCTATTAATTTCTAAAGTAAATTCAAAGTAGATTTTCTAAGCTAGAAGAGCAGTAGAAATAAATGTGCTGCTATCAGGCAAAAAAACACAGAAAATATTTACTTGAGTTTGTGCTAGGAGAATTACTATTTAAATAACATTATTTTGAGGCCAAGAACTGGGAAGAAACACTCAGGTTTAAACAGGGTGGAGTGAGATAGAAGATGTTGTCCAAAGAAAGTAGTGTTTTAATGGAACAATAAAAATTTGGTATATCTTAGACAGGAATTAATAATGAAAACTCCACACAGATCATTTTCAAAAGGAATTCCCTTATCTGTAAATATTTTCAGCGTTTTTTTCTTTCCCAGAAGAATGATATCATACCTGGGATTTGATTCAAATGTCAGAGGTGGGGATGGGGTGGGTAACAGGTGAAAAAGACGGCCACGTGTTGATAACTGTTGACGCTGGGTGAATGGAACATGTGGTTCAATTACATATACTATCTCTATGTTTGTATGTGCTTAAATTTTACCCTAATAAAAGGTTTAAAAAACAACCATTAGGTGAATTGTACTTCAAGAATTCCCTTAGCTCATCTTTCCACTCAAATATTACTAGCAGGTTGTCTTGATCATCAAACTTCTTCTTCAATATGAAGAGTTTTTCTCCCCTAGATGTTTTCCCTGTCCTATCACAGAACAAAGGGGTTCAACTGGAGAAGGAAGTCCTACAGAGCATTATGTACTGATTAACAATGGTACTAAATCCAAATCAATAAAACTGACAGAATGCTTAAACACAAATTTTAAAAAGCAAACAGGGCAGTCAAGTAAGAAGTATGTCACCTACCTTCCACAGTGGACACTTGAACAAGTCAAACAGACCCAAGGGCTTTTGTTGGACCGGCACACTAATAAAAAGAAAAATACACAATATACCAATTGTATCATGTTATTTCCCAATTTCTCCCCATCTTCCTGTGATTAAGTTAAAAATTCCATGGCTGTGTAGGAGTGCCAAGTTGCAAATCCGTGCTTTGTGAATGCATTTGCACAAAATGGCCGCCTATTTAAGTTATACTGAAAAGTTGTATTTCACAAAATAAAAACTAGTAAATGCATGTCCACAACAGGGGCTCATTTTAATTGCTGACTCAAACAGCTTAACCACATTAAACACATACGCACTTGTCTCTTCTATTACTTATTCCCTTTGCCACAGTCTTCGACAACTTAACGACAGCCTATTTTCCCATTAAAAACATTTTCTTAAAGTCTAGTCTTTTAACCACATGTCTTTGCCATGTAGGTCAAACACCACTATAAATGACAACTCTTTCAGTTTATTTACTAAGAGGCACGACGTAAGGTTACAATTAGGAAGTCTAAGCCTAGTTTTCCCAAAGTAATTCTTAGTTGCATAATATGTAACTGCACATGATTCTTGCTGATGGTATAATCAAGACATTAATTATTTTAGTTTATGTATTATAGTGATGGGGCAAGCAAGTAGGAGTATGGAAATGAAATATCGATTAAAATTTTGCTTGCTGTCTACTCATTCATTTTTCAGTAAGTCCTATGTAAGTAACGATGATATTCAAAAGGGAGGGATATCAAAATCACCTGGAAAGCTTTTTGAAAACACCTGTGTTCTACTCAACGATATCTTTGTCGGAGTGGGGAAAGAAGTGAAAATAATATGTATATTTTGTGAAAAGTAGCTTCCCAGGTGACTTCCTGATACAACCCCTAGAGAACCGCTAGTCAGCCTCCTAGAGGCATGGGAGGGGCACTGAAGCACAACCACACAGGATCATAACAACTACCTGGAATGTTGTAGATGCTCAATAAACATCTGTGGAAGAGAACGTTTAAATCTCTTAGTTTAGGATATCAATCTCTTCCAAGATCTGGTCTCTACCCACATTTGTCGTGCCTCATCCCATATTACAACAGGCCTTTCTCACTGTTAAAAAAAAAATTACCAAAACTGAAAATAAGGTGAATGGAGAACTGTAAGCCCTTTCAACGTGTACTGAAACGCTGTTTAACAGCCCCTCCCAAAGAGAGTTAATTATAGTACCACTGACCTGTTTACTTACTAGCACCCAAATTCTATGACATTGCCCAGCAGACTCCAAAGGTTACAGTTATACTATCCTACCCTGTAAGATATTAACCAATTTTGTATCTAGCTTAGCAATGTTATTTCAGTGCTTTTTCTTCACTGTCTATACACACTCAGTTCCCAATTACTCTTGGGAGCCAGCTTTACCATCCTACTGGTTCCCTCATTAGTGAGTTAAGTAAATCTTTGACTATGTTCAGCCTGTATTTGTATGAAGAGGGGACAGGAGGTGAGAACAGGAGAACACACCGATATCCGCCTGAGAGACTCTACAGGTTGGCCAGTGCGGAACGTTAGTTGTGAACGTGAAAGCTTTGAGTGGTGACACACCCTTCTAGTTGCCAAAGGCCTTCCTTTTTCTTAGTGCATTCACATATTTACACTCACTATCAGGGTCATCCTTGAAGGCAATGAAGGCTTTTTTTTACTAACCTGGGTCCAATTTTGTTACATTACATGTAAACTGCATGACAGAAAGGTGTGGAAGAATACCTACCAAACTGTTAAAACAAATATTTTAGGCAGATACCTAGAAGACTATTGGGAGGGAGACCGCTGGCTTCTTATTTGTACTCCCCTGTGATGTCTGCCTTACAGCAATGAGAATACGATGTTTCTAGATTGAAGAGAAAGCTCAATAAAATCTATTTTACAAAATAAAAACTAGTACATGACTTACTTGAACAGCTATGCATGGTTTGAGGTATGATTTGGAGTACTAAGATATTATGAATATTAGTATTTTGTTTCTCCAGGGAGGCTTTCTTCTCTTAGTAAATATTAAGAAACACTGGGGCCAGGTGCCTGGACGCATGCCTGCAGTCCCAATACTTTGGGAGGATGAGGCAGGCAGATTGCTTGAGTCCAGGAGTTCGAGACCAGCCTGGGTAAAATGGTGAAATCCCATCTCTACAAAAAATACAAAAATTGGCTAGGTGTGGTGGCACGTGCTTATGGTCCCAGCCACTCAGGGGGCTGAGGTAGGAGGATCAATTCAACCCAGAAAGGTGAGCCCAGGAAGGTAAGCTGCAGTGAGCCATGATTGCACTACTGCACTCTAGTTTGGGTGACAGAGCAAACTGTGCCTCAAAAAAAAAAAAAAAAAAAAAAGTCAGATGGATGGATGGACAGAATGACAGATAGACAGATGGATAGACTGTAAATCTGGGAGAAAAAAATTGTTATAGTTTAACATTATCCTGAAATAATTATGTTACAATAATAAGTTTAGGCCCAAGGTTGTATTTTTGTTTTCTTTTGAGAAAGGGTCTCTCACTCTGTTGCCCAGGTTGGAAGGCAGTGGCATCACAGCTCACTGCAACCTCCGCTTCAGAGGCTCAACTGATCCTTCAACCTCCACCTCCAGAGTAGCAGGGACTACAGGCAACCGTCACCATGCCTGGCTAATTTTCTGTTTTTCGTTTTTGGTAGAGACAGGGTCTCATTATGTGGCCCAGACTGGTCTTAAACCCGTAACTCAAGCAATCCTCCATGCCTCAGCCTCCCAAAGTGCCCAGATTATAGGTATGAGCCTCTGTACCTGGCCTAGGCCCAAGTTTTTAACTACCCAGAGATATTTTTTTAATTATGGAGGATTTTGTTACTCCTTTGTACAAGGAAAAAGGAATCTAGAGTAGAATACCTGTGACTCTGCTTTGAATCTGTTTCCTACCAAGTGTTCCTTTCTTCCTCACTTTAGGATTATAAAGCTACCCACAGTACATGGGTACTGTGATCTCCTTTTCCCCACTTAAGTTACATGAACACATATCTTCATTCAGAACAGTGTATTATAAAGCTAGCCTTTTTGAGACGGAGTCTTGCTCTGTCGCCCAGGCTGGAGTGCAGTGGCGCAATCTCAGCTCACGGCAACCTCTGCCTCCTGGGTTCAAGAGATTCTCCTCCCTCAGCCTCCCAAGTAGCTGGAACTATAGGCGCATGCCACCATGACTGGGTTTTTCTTGTTTTTGTTTTTTTTTTTTGTATTTTTAGTAAAGACAGGGTGTCACCATGTTAGCTAGGATGGTCTCAATCCTCTGACCTCGTGATCCACCCACCTCGGCTTCCCAAAGTGCTGGGATTACAGGCATAAGCCACTGCACCTGGCCATAAAGCTAGTCTTATAATATCAATTATCTCACAGGGCTTTGTTCATTTTTTTAAATTTCTCAAATAAATTACAAATTTTAGAAAAAAAAAACTCTAAGGCTGAGGGGGTCAAGAGAATGGGAAGTAACAGCTAAATTGATATAGAGTTTATCTCGGGGTTATAAAAATGTTTTGGAACTAGACAGTTGCAAAACAACTGTGGATATACTAAATGCCACCGAATTTAGCTCACTTTAAGACGGTTCATTTTATGAGAATTGTGCATCAATTAGACAGACAGATACTTAAGGATGAGAGAAAGTAAAAGGAAATAAAGTACTGACTTTCAAAATCATGGGAAACAAGTAACTGTGGACTGTGCCTTTTAATATATCTCCAAAAAAAAAAAAACCCATGTTACTACCTGCCAAGTGTGGCAGTGACTGCATCTGTAGTCCCAGCTACTTGGGAGGCTAAGGCAGAAGAATCACTAGAGCCTAGAGTTTGAGGACAGCCTGGGCAACATACAGAACTCTCTGAGGGCATAATCAGTCACACCAGACAAACATGTGAAGTCTAGAAAGATACAGAGGATAGGGTATTTATGATTCTGAAGCCAATAAATGGCACTGCTTTGGGGAATATTCACTCTGTTTATACATGCTTCGTCCAAATTAAGAAGCTTTAACGTACACAAAACAAATATACAATAGAATGATAAACACTGGCTTTCAATTAAACTCTCAGTTATTGTTAAGAATAGAACAGAATTGTACAAATAAAAGAATACTACAGATAATCTGAAAACCATTTATTTTAATCATCTTTAGGAGGACTATCTTATTACAAAAGGTAGTTTCAATTTATAGATAGATGAGATTCAAAAGTTTATCTGTACGATAAACACACTTCTCATGGAAACAGTATTGAAGGTTTCCAGGGTTGTCTGTAAAGCCCCAAATGAAACATAATATAGCTGAAATACTCATATACACACATACTTATACACATGCTCACACAATAAAACCAGTCAATAAAAGCATTTTTAGGCTCTGAATATAGTATCTATTCAGCAAAACACAAAAATATTAAGCCAAAGTTTTCTTTTGTTTTTTTTTTTTTAAATCTTAAATGCTGGTACTTGAGAGAAAGGGTGATAGGGACAGACCCTTGTGAAAGCTCAAAAAGTTAAATCTGGGAATTTATAAGGGCTTTTTAATACACCCAATTACACTTCAAGGTGATGTCACGGAAAAGGAAGCCATGTAATTTATTTCTTACACTGTACACTTGGCCACAGCAGCGTGATTTAGAGTCTCTTAAGTGAAACTCATCTTTTACTCAGATTGTAAAATTTCCTCAAACCAAGATACCCTGTCCTCCAGCAAATTTCTCCAGTTTGCTTGGATTCTTCCACTCCTGACCACAGTGTCTCATCTCTCAGCCCAGGGGCTGGCACTAACTAGGCTCCTTTCACTGCCTCCTCTTCAGCTATGGCTTCAGAATCTTCCTTCGTCCCTGTTCTCACCTCAGCCACAAATTCTTCAAGTTGGCAGGAGGGCCCCCTTGTCTGGAGCTCTCCTGAGCTAGAGCCATTCACCAGAAGATAGAAGCTATCGCATATGCTGGGCCGTGGAGAGGGTGGGAAGAGCCCCAGCCTCTAAAACGTGCTTCGGACTCAAATCTTCCTCC